ACAGTGAGACTCTGTCTCAAAAAATATCTTTTTTTTTTTTAAATAACGTTTTGAATGTCAAAGGTTTCCTAGCAAAACTGAAGGGAGTGAGAAATTTATCTCTGAAGCCAAAAGAGAAGTCTCAACATTTCCAGAGGTATAACCAAACTGCTAACTCATTTTAAGAAAAGCAACTTAAAAATGAACCTTCACATAAGTTTATTTTACAATCAACAATGAGTTAGAGAGGAACATTTCCAAATTTATTTCTGAGAGCTTGTTAATGTAACTTAAAGCATAGGAACCTTCTGTTAAACTAAAATAATTAAAATAAATCTACCACCACATTAAAAAAAAAACGTCAGGGCTGGGCACAGTGGGTCACACCTGTAATCCCAGCACTTTGGAAGGCTGAGGTGGGCAGATCACATGAGGTCAGGAGTTCGAGACCAGCCTGGCCAACATGGTGAAACCTTGCCTCTACTAAAAATACAAAAAGTAGCCAGGTATGGTGGTGCGCTCCTGTAATTCCAGCTACCCAGGAGTCTGAGGCAGGAGAATCACTTGAACCAGGGAGGCAGAGGTTGTGCCACTGCACTCCAGCCTGGGTGATAGAGCAAGATTCTGTTTGAAAAAAAAAAAAAAAATTCAGAAAAGTTCAAGGATACCATTATTTGATCTGTATTCCAAATAGGATTCACAGATAGAAGGAAATGAAATCAAATGTACATGGCAAATAATGTGCCTATAATATTCATTTTTGAAAACTCAGTGGAATGGAGGTTCCATGAGTACATACATATGTCAATGCTAATTGAACCGTTCTCTTAAAATGGGTGCATTTGATTATATGAAAAATTTAAAACAAAAATGTGCACCTTAAAGTTCTACTGTATTTGCTGTATCCAAGAAGACTCTCCCCAAAAAAAGGGAATTTAGAATTGCCTTCACAAAGATGATTAAGTCACAAAACATATCATTATATATGTAATACCATATCCATTTTGAAGCATATTCTATATGTCAAAGGATCTTCCAACAGTATCTTCTATGCTTCAATTTTTCCATTTGGAAATATATATCCCTAATGTGATTAGAAAGCACCACAACTGAATTTTGTGCTTGAAAACCTATAGACATGAGTGAAACAATAAAGTATAAATAAAGATTTTCACTGATAATCCTTTTTCTCAGTTCAAAATAACTAAGAATGACTTATTTTTTATAAGTTTCATTAACAGAATTTGAGGGAGAGGCATTTTCTAAAAATGGGCATTTTTTCCATTTACACAGAAATGGAAAAAAGCTGTGAGGAGCTTTTTATGAGTCCCATTCATCTGGAAGCCTCACTCAGACTTACATCAGAATAAAAACTCTTTTATAAGAAAACTCATGTCCCTTGTTAATCACTCCTTATTTCTAATGTACAGTAACACTAAAATAAATTTTAAAAAAGAATTAACATATGAAGTTAGGAATATATATAACTACCAATACATTTATTATCTAAGGATCCTACTAGACTACTGTAATTCCAGAAAAAAAAAACCAATAACCTTATTCACTAGGTTCATACTAATATTTCTGTTGACAGCTCCAGTCATTTCTACCTTCCAAAATGTCCTACCTTTATTAGATATTAATAATTGTCAATGATTGATAATTTTATATTAGAATTTTACAATCTCAATTAATAGCAGAGATCTGAACCTAAGTCAGTATTTTCAAAAACTGGTAACTATCATTAAAGCATTAGATCTCATTGAAATTCACAAATGGTTACTCTTTAAAATAGAGAATTATCAAGGGAAACTCATAATTCATTTTTCAGTCTTTCTTGTAAGCACATACATATTACACATAACAAATTCTGATTACTGTTATTGATATTAAGACATGATTTATAAGAATAGTGTGAAATACAATGATTTCATAGCCTCAGTAAGCCCTGTGTCTATTACCTGTCAATCTATAAAAACTTTAACATGAGAGAGTAGAGATGAAAGTGAGTTTGCCAAAGTTATCTGCTATCCCAGAGCTGTTTAAAGTTGATTTGGTTTTTCTGGCTGAGTAATTTAATATAATCTTTCATCCTTCCAGAGTTGGAAGGGACTATATGAGTTTCTCCTAGAAATTTAAGGCATTTAAGTCACAAAACAGGAAAGTATATTATCTCACTTATAAGCAGGAAAGATCTCTGCTCAATTAATTAGTGAAATACTTTGACTATAATTAATAGACATGCTAATATAGATTTTTTGGTTATGTGAATATCAGTTGAATATAATCTTTAAGCCACATTATAAATTCATATGTGCATGTAAACACAGACACATATATCCCAGAAATGGAAAATTGTGCAAATCTACCTTCATCCATTCAGTAAATATTTATTAAGAACCTATTATATACCATTTAAGATTACTCAAAATCTACTACATAATATTGAAAATAGACTAAAGAAAGTATTTCTTGATCAAATGGAAGAGATTTTCTGCCACTACAAATCATCCAAGATAACTGAAACCTGCATCTACTGTAGGATTTATTTCATTATTATTTCATACATATGCATATTGCATTACTGACTTTTAAATTTCATATACTGGCACTTCAGAGAGACCTTCAGGGCCGGTAAAGTTAATTTGCATAGACCCAAGACAAGTTTTCCAAATAAGCCACATTTCTTCATATGGGTCCTAGTAAACATTTGCAAATACATAATCCTCTAAGTTAAAGTTCACACCTGACTTTAGAATGTCCCATGTACTCAAGATACCTACCTTGTAAATTGCCTCCCCTAGTCACCATTCCTACTCGTTCAAGACAGCCACCAAGTTATACTACGGTCTTTTCTTGTTCTCTTAAGAGTTAGACCTATTCTGTCTTACTTTTGTTTTGTTCACATCTCACAATTCAATCAATTCTTGTCAGGCCATCTCTTTCTCATAATGAAAAACATATGCCCCTCTCTTTCCTTTTTTGGATATCTTGAAAAAATAACTCATTTCCATTTTTGTGAGCCAAAGAAACAGTTCAGTCCTCATGTAATAACTATTATCAGGTACCTATTATGTGCCACACACTGGGCTAGACCTTAGGAATGGCTAAGAATGAACTCAATGGCCAGAAATATTCTTGTAGCAAGAAAAAGAGAAATCTGATTTCAATGTCAGATTAGATCTCAAAAACAGTGCAATCAACCTTGAAAGCTCACAAAAGTACCCAAAAAACCCATAAGCATCCTTCCAAATAACTATCCACCTATTAACCTTGCTTTTCTTCAAGCATTAACATTTAGAATAAATAAAAATAATATCTTATCCAACATCAGTATTTTATACTTAGTTTCACCATTGGAATTGACTTGCTTATGTTTTTCAAGGTAGCAATGGTTTTTCTATAGTGTGAGTAAAATATACTCTTAGACTGTGATAAACACCCAACAGTCACTTGATAAACTGTTTTCCAGGGAACATTGGTTCTAAATTTCCAACAATCCACTCACAAGTAAACTTCTGAAATACAAAGCATTTGTAAATTGGGAATGCATTATTCTTTATTTCTATATTTACATTCCTACGGGCTTAGGAAATGGTACATCACTAAGGTAACACCAGTGAATGACTAGTTTAGAATAAAAAATTATTCTGCAAAGTGTGAAGCTGTAGGCAAGTAATTTTCCATCAGTCTAAGAAGGACTGAGCATGGGAAAATCTATTTAAAAAGTAAAAGTAAGTTTGTGATATTATCTCTCTGATACTTACTTTTAAGTGTAAGATACTCACTAGCCCAGAAAAGGTTTCCACAGACCAGCTGAGCTGTTTCTTATACATAGGTCAACAGTCTAAAAAAATAAAATAAAAACCCACAAAATCCCACAAAACAAAACCTGTTCTGCAGGCTTCTGTACACGTAGAGGAAATGTTAGAGAAAGTACAGCCATTTTATAGTCTATCTAGGGTACAAGCCCTTTTAATATGTTTACTAATACTCTGCAGAAGTTTTCATTTCTGTTGTTTTGCCTTAAAGGACTCACTTGAGTTGATAACTAAAGACATATATATTGCTTGAGGCTAGCAGAGGGTAGATTAGAAACTCTGCTTAGAGTGGTGCATCTTCATGCAGTGACTCAGTTTCACAGTTAACAACATACACTTCCTCCCTCCTACAGAAGAATGATTACATGCCTCCATCCATGCCTTTAAAAAGATGTATATAATTAGTATACACTCTCCTGTTTTAAGATTATACAAAGAAGGTTTTATTGGAATGTGAATAGATATTTTAAGAGTTTATTTTTTCCTTGCTCTATTGCTTATACAAACACACACACACACACACACACACACACACACACACACACATCAGGTTATAATTGCTCTTCAACGAATAAGATTATATGAGAGGAAAGCTTAGTATAAATTGTGAGAACAAAATAACTGCTTTATTCCTTACTTAGAAATCCAAATGCATTCATTCATTTTACATAAAGTAAGAAAACTCAGGTGTCACTTATTGGGTCTAACATAAGCAGTCAACATTTAAATTACATATCATTTTAATTAGTAGTATCAACATTTTTATTTAAATTATAAGAGAATGCTATAGTTTATAATACAAAACATCACAGTGATAATTTAAAATTTATTAACAAGAGACAGAAAGAGGTAACTTTTGAATTTTCATGCAGTTGAAAGAGAAACATGAAAAATGGTATACTGTACTGCCACTATTTTTGGAAACTCTTTGTAAATAAAAACCCATTTCCAAAATAAGATATTCCATGGACACAGAATAGTTGATAATAGTTCAAGTGCCTTAGGCAACAGAGAAGTATTGTTTTGTAGTTTTTTAAACCTCTCCTAGTAATAGCAATTCATTATGCACAAAGAAACAAGGTAACAGCATGGTTTATAATGAATAGATAAGTAATAACTACAGAACCTCAATTAAAATTAAAGTTTGCCGTATTTGTTCCATTTCTATAAACCAGTATGGATAACTTTGTTCATACTTACCAAATGTTACAGAAATGACTTGGCTTGTCTAAGCAACAAAACGTAGACACATGGTGAGGTGCTGAAGACAGCTCTTTCTTGAGCTCAAAGCACTTTAGATGAAGTAGGCTTTATCGTCCATTTAATAGAGGTTGCCTCCTATTACCAAGTGTGGCAGAGAAAAGAGTTTCCACAATTCTGTCTTGACTTTCTGTCTCTCTCTTTGAAGAGTAACAGTTACCACCGGAAAACGTTACCAGAAAATGATCACTTGAACACTCACATAGAGCAGCTGTAAATTTCCACTCTCTTTGCTTGCTCTCAGATTCCAAGCCTTGCTTGTCTCTTAATCTGTCACAGGCAGTTCTGTTTCTGGTCAAACCAGCTTGCTTATGCGTCCTCCTCTCTCTCTTTAACACTTGCTTTCAGATACGTACTGCAGTCACAGCTCCCTCTTTTACTTCCTCCCTCCCCAGTCCTGTAACGTCACAAGAATGCCTGTAAAGCTGAGGCAAAATAAACTCTTGAGCCAAAAAAGAAAAAAATCTAGAGATAAACACAATTTTTTCTCATTACGTTTTTCTGCCTTAAGTCTTATACTTGTTCGTGCACGGGGTTTTGTCAACTGATTTAACTGGCTTGACTATCTTGTTTAAAAATGGAAATAAAAGTTCTTAAAAAAAAAAAAAGCCTGTTGATAGTAATAATAACAGATTCACCTGTTAATATGCTAGCTCCTCAGGGAAGATGCTATTCCCAATTATAAGAAAGTGGAGCAAGTAAACACATAAGTACCTGTATTAGAAATTTAATCTTAAGATTTAAAAAGCAGGGAAGATTTTAGAATATTTATAATTTAATTTTAATAGTGTGATTTTATGAAAACCTAATGTATTTCTTAATATGGTATATTTTAAAACTTGGACCAAAATTTGCAGTTATAAAAGGGAAAGTTATAAAGAACACAGAAAAATATTGACACCAAAAACAATAGCTAGAGCAGCTTAATCATGTATGTGCAAACCAAATGTAATTATTGCAGTTGAAAAGAAGGTTTTTTCCCCTCAAGCTTTATTGGTCAGAATGCATAATACCTCTTATAAGAATTACAAAGGCTAAAGGCAACAAAAAATTATTAAAGTTATTATACATATATAATTATAGAGTAAAATAACAAAATTATGAAACTCTGTTTAAGGTTTAGGGATGAGGAATTAGGTGGAAAGCTGAGTGGGCTGGTGGTTGGCAGGCTTATATAGCATTTGTAGGATTCTTTGGAATTAGGAGGCAATGTATGCAGCTTGGAATAGGTGCTGGCTCTGTAGGATGCTAGTCAGATCCTGCTTTAGAGTTCTGTTCCAGCTTCTTAGCCCAAACCACTTTAGGTTCTCCACCTCCCACTATGTTCCCAATCAAAAGTCTTGGGCCCTTCTTCTACTGATGGATCTCCCAAGCACAGAAGGAACAAAAGTAGTTATTAGACCTATTATTAAGTAACACATTCTTATTCTCCACAGAATTAAAATCTCTCTAAGAATATAAGCTTAAGTAAAGTGAAAGGTAAATATCTATAAATAGTTGTTTATACACCTTAAGAAAAATAAGTCAGTAAAATTCAGCCTTAAAATATAGATGGCTTGATCTGGTTCATTTAAAGTAGACTTAAAACTTAACTATATTATACAGTTATTTGGTTATTTCTTAGTGCCTATGAAATAGGTATCAAAGATGACTAGATATTAGTCTTTCAATTAGTAGTTTTATACTTTATTTAGAGTTTTATTTCTTCTTTTTAAAGAGATATTAGATGGAAATAATTCTAAATCACTCAGGGTATGAAGTGCCTAGTATCTTGGGTTATACTCTAAGAGCTGCAGTATAATTTAAAAAATTTAATTTATAAAAGTGGTTCTTAGGGTAACTGCAAGGTTAATTTAAAATTGGGAGACTCTATATCAATCTACAATGGATTCAAAGGTACAAAGTCAAGTCAAGAAATTTAAAACATAAAATTACTATGATTATCTATGATTGTATATTTAATTCCTACTAAATACCATTCCACGTTTCCAACAGCAAGAGTGAAGAAATCTTACAATATACAGTAAATTGTGTTGAGTATTCAGAAGGATATTGCCTCAGTAGCAGAACCAAAGTAGTTTTATATTAAAGGTTGTTCTGGTTCCGCCTCATAGAGATCAAAAGTAAGCCTTGAAAGGACCAAATTATTTCCAAATAACTGCAAGCCAGAGTAAAATTTAAAAATATTTATATAATTTTTAAAAAATCTAGCACACAACAATGTAAAATTCACAATGTGTGGCATCCAGTCAAAAATCGCCAGGCGTGCAAAGAAGCAGAGGAAAATATAATACATAATAAGGAGATAATCATTAGAAACAGATTCTGAAATGACACAAATAATAGAATTAGTATACAAACACATTAAAACAACTATTAAAAATCTCTTTCATACATTAAAGAGGTATTAGAAAGATAAGAATGCTAAGGAGAGACATGGCAGATATGAAAAAGACCCAGATCAAATTTCTAAAAATTAAAACTACAATTTCTGAGAAAATGCTTATTCTGTTTTATGGAATGAAGTGTTGCCCAACTCTAGAATTACAAATAAGGCCAACTAAGATCTTTAAACAAAAAAACAAATGTACAAAAAAACCCCTATAAACTCTGTAATGAAAATTAACACCAAATGAGATGAACGGCAGACTGTACAGTGCAGAAGAAATGATTAGTAAAGTTGAAGACACAGTGACAGAACTTACTAAAATAAAGCATTGAGAGAAAAAAAGTTTAAAAAAAATTAAACTGTAAATTAACTCCAGATGGATTAAAGACTTAAACATAGGACCTAACACCATAAAAACCCTAGAAGAAAACCTTGGCAAAACCATTCAGGACATAGGCATAGGCAAGGACTTCATGACTAAACCACCAAAAGCATTGGCAACAAAAGCCAAAATAGACAAATGGGATCTAATTAAACTCTAGAGCTTCTGTACAGCAAAAGAAACAATTATTAGAGTGAACCGGCAACCAACATGTTGGGAAAAAAGTTTTACAATCTACCCATCTGACAAAGGGTTAATATCCAGAATCTACAAAGAACTGAAACAAATTTACAAGAAAAAAAACAAACTCATTCAAAAGTGGGCAAAGGATATGAACAGACACTTTTCAAAAGAAGACATATATGAGGCCAACAATATAAAAAAGGCCAACATATAAAAAAGTGCTCATCACTGGTCATTAGAAAAATGCAAATCACAACCACATTGAGTTACCATCTCACACCAGTTAAAATTGCAAGCATTAAAAAATCTGAAGACAACAGATGCTGGAGAGGATATGGAGAAATAGGAACACTTTTACACTGTTGGTGGGAGTGTAAATTAGTTCAATCATTGTAGAAGACAGTGTGGCGATTCCTCAAGGAGTTACAAATAGAAATTCCATTTGATCCAGCAATCCTATTACTGGATATATACCCAAAGGATTATAAATCGTTCTATTATAAATGATTATAAATAAATAAATGCTCATTGTGGCACTGTTTACAATAGCAAAGACCTGGAACCAACCCGGATGCCCATCGATGATAGACTGGACAAGGAAAATGTGGCACATATATATCATGGAATACTATGCAGCCATAAAAAACGATGAGTTTGGGTGCTTTGTAGGGACATGGATGAATCTGGCCATCATTCTCAGCAAACTGACACAAGAACAGAAAACCAAACACCACATGTTCTCACTCATAGGTGGGTGTTGAACAATGAGGACACATGGACACAGGGAGGGGAGCATCACACACTGGGGTCAGTTGGGGGGGGGGCTAGGGGAGAGAGAGTGGGGGGTGGGGAGGTTGGGGAGAGACAACATGGGGAGAGATGCCAGATATATGTGATGAGGGGATGGAGGCAGTAAACCACCTTGCCATGTATATACCTATGCAACAATCCTGCATGATCTGCACATGTATCCCAGAACATAAAGTACAATAAAAAATAAATTAAAAATAAAAACAAAAATGAACAGAGAATCCCTGAACTATGGGGAAACTTAAAAGAACCTAATGTATACTATATATACTACATATAGTCTTTGGGCCTTGAATAAACAATAGTAGTAGCCAAGAAATAGTTCTTACAGGCCTTGGGCATAACCCAGGACTGTGCTGGCTTCAGGTGTGACCCAGTATTGACCCAGCATAGTCCTAGCAATGGTGGTCACAAGAGGGCTTGCACCACCCCTCCCCCAACTGTATGCAGCTCAGCAAGGAGAAAAGACTCTCTTTGTTTGAGGGAACGTAAAGGAAGAGAACAAGAGACTGTCTGGTAATCCAGGGAATTCTCCTGGATCTTACCCAAGACCACCAAAGCGATATCTTCTCAAGTCTGCAAGTCACAACATTACTGGGTTCTGAGTGACCAAAGACTTAGATCACAAAACTTAATTAATTCCCTTTGAGTATTTGGAAACCCTTCTCAAGGACAGATCCATTCATCCTTGAGAGGTCTGAGAAAAAAATCAAAAAAAGGACAAGTACAAAAAAGCCCAGAGTGTGAAGATTAGAATAAATACCTAACTCTTCAATGCCTAGATACTGACAAACATCCAGAAGCATCAAGACCATCCAGGAAAACATGACCTCACCAAACCAACTACATAAGGAATCAGTGACCAATTCTGGAATGACAGAGATATGCAACTTTTCAGAGAATTCAAAATAGCTGTTTTAAGGAAGCTCAAAGAAATTCAAGATAACATATAGAAGGAATTCAGAAAGCTATCAGATAATATAACAAAGAGACTGAAATAATTAAGAATCAAGCAGAAATTCTGAAGCAGAAAAATTTAACTGAAAAACTAAAAAATGCATCAGAGTTTCTCAAAAGCAGAATTGATCAAGCAGTAGGAAGAGTGAGCTTGAAGACAGGCTATCTAAAATACACAGAGCAGTCAAAAGAAAAAAGAATAACACTAATGTAGCCTGCCCACTCTAGAAAAGAGCCTCAAGGGGACTCTCCAAGATGGCCCAATAGACACAACTCTGGTGTACAACACTCAGTGAGAGAGACGCAGAAATCCAGAGATCTGGATTACAGATCCAAGATGGTCAATCAGACACAATTCCAGCATACAACACCCAGCGAGAGAGATGCAGAAATCCAGGGATCTCCTAGCTCCAACTGAGGTCCCAGGTGCATTTCAATGGGTCTGGTCCAATGGTGAGCAAACAGGGCAGACTGAGGTGGGGAGGGGTGCTGCTTCACCCAGAAAGTACATCTGACCAGGGAGTTGGAGGCTCCCTCTCTGGCACTCCGGTCCAGATACAGCACTTCCCCCAAAGCCTCAGCAATACACAGAACAGGGGATCTCTGCCAGTCAAGCACAGGGAATTACAAGTGCAGAGTTGAATAAGAGCCTGCAGACTGAGCTATTGCCCCCTCCCCCCACCCCAGAGAGAGAGGGAGCTATAAGCAGGAGCAGCTGGGCGGGCCCCTACCCAAAGACCAGAGAGAGAGGAAGCTGAAAGGGGGATACAGCCGGGTGTAGCTGGATGGGTCCCTACCCTCCACCAC